AGAACGGTTTATTAAAATGATATTATATGTTAGATTATCAAATGTTTACTTACCAGGGTAGCAAGCTCTTCTGGTCTTCTGGCAATTAGCAGCACAAAAAGCCCATCAGGTTTTGTCATTAGATGTCAAAGCTATTGCGCATGTCTTGAAACTCATAGCAAAAATAATGTTGAAGTTCCCTTAACCACTTTAAGCTTGTTTCATTATATGAATTAAATCATTAATTTCCAAATGTAGTTAAAGAAAAAAAGAGAATGTTGGATAAAAGGAAAAAAGATATTAATAGGAATTAAAATAAAAAATACACTAAGAAATAACATAAGATATTATGTTTAAGTTTAAGTGTCATTGCTACATACTATTTACCACATTGTAAACGGAGACCTACCCCCAGCACTCAACCTAAACTGGTCCGGGTCTGCATGCCCATATCTCAGCCAAAATCAGACCAGCCCTTATGGTCCGTAATCGGGCCGAATGTGGCTAAATGTGCCGTGTCTCAGTGCAACTCAGGCCAGATCTGCACATCCGAAGCCTGGCCAAATCTGGCAACCATTACTGGGCCAGAGCTGGCTCACTTTTGGTGAGCCGCTGCCAGAACACAGCCGAGTGAGCCGACACTCAGCCGCAATTGGCCCGATTGCGCTGGCTACTAGGGCTACATGGGTTACTAGAGTGCCGGTGTGCTGACTAATGAACTTGGGAGCTGATTTAGATGCACTCGGAGATTAATTTTGGATTTGTTTTTTTGAAACCGTTTTTTCCCTCCTCTCAAACACAGAGAAGAAACTTCTGGAGAAGCAAGTGAGATTCACGTGACATACTAAAGATGGCGTTTATTAAGGAGGAGAGTGAAGACATTCAAATTGAAGAGGCATTCAAAGTGAAACAAGAAGATACTGAAGATCAAACAGGTTGGTTTCGATTCTCAAAGCTTGAGTCTCCTTGTGTGGACAGAGATCACATAACCAGCCAAATAGTAATGCTGCCTTCATTCATTATTACATGTCGCACATTAAATTAGGAAAAATAAAACATAAGTAGCTTGAACAAAACAAATATTTTGTGCATCACATCCAAAATAAGTTTTTGTTTACATAATGTATGTGTGTGTACTGTGTATATTTATTATGTATATATAAATACACAAACATGTGATATATAGATATAAATATTTTATATATAAACAAAACATATTTTTTAAATGTATACATGCATGTGTGTATTTATATATACATAATAAATATATACAGTACACACATGTATTATTTTAAAGTACATGCATGTATGTTTGTGTATTTATATATACATAATAAATATACACAGTACACACACTTATATTGTGTAAACAAAAACTTATTTTGGATGTGATTAATCATTTGACAGCATTAATTTTGTGTGATATTAACCCTAAATATCTACTTCGTTGAAAACACTGAAAACCATTCACTTCCATCAAATATGGAACAGTATCAAAACATGCAGGCAACTAAGTAAAACAAGGGTTCAAAAACATTTTATCATAACTTATTAACATGCCTGAGTATAATAAATCTGAATGTAGAAATAAATATGTATCAAGCAATAAATAAGGCATATGTCAAAAACACTAGCCTCCTAATAAAATCCTGACACAACTTGGTAGAGTTACTGCATGCTGCCTACATTTGTTCTTCGTTTAAAGGGCTTTGGCGATCAAATTAAACGGCCAGTAACAGTAATCAAAGACACAAATTGCCCACTACAGAAACATCTGTTGTGACTTTCACATCTTCTAACAATTTCAGTTTTAAATTTACCATCAGAAGTTGATCTAGGATGAGTGCTTCTCCTGAACTCCATGTGGTAGCACAAAAGTGGGATGTTCTTCACATTCACGTTGTGGGTCTTAATGTGAGGAACAAACTCATAATGTATCTTTTTTTTAGCAGCTGGATTTTTCCAGAGAGACAGACTAGATGGTATGTTATAATGAAATATAAAATTTGAATGGAACATTTTTTTTTTTAACCCAGACTGCCCTACAGCAGCTTCTTTCTCTTTGGAAAGCCTGATTTCAGCTAACTTTTTGTCATCTTCATTTAGAGATTAGACACTTGCGCCCCATTCACACTCAGCGACATTGTATGTCGATAGACTCTGTCCTGTGAAGACGCTTGTGGGCATTCCTAGTGCTGTCACTCTAATGTTATTGATAGACTGCACGTCTGGACATATCTTTAAAAAATGCAATCACAAACTATATATATTGCCAGTAAAACTAAGATAACATTCTAATTTGACTAGGAATTAGACTTAAAAGAAATAAAAGTAGCATTCTGCTGTTGGTGAGTGTTCTTATATAAACTACAGCAGTGCTTGGTGCATTAATTCATTAACCAGTGCTAAACACGAACCATCAATGTAGGAATCAAACTCACCAAGACTGCCAACAGTTTTTTTTCCATGCATCATTTTTAATATCCATGTATGTGTTTACGGTCAAACAATATAAAACTTTGATATCGCTCCGGAACTCTGTCCTGTCTTGCCTGCACTCGAGACGGTGACGTGTGAGTGCTACTGACTGATTCTTCACTCCTATTGGATACCACTTAAGTAAAACTATTCTTAACTTTTGTCGTGTGACTCCCGTCGCTCGCCACACCCACATTCTGTTGCCAATGGTCACTGTCGCCGGAAGTCACCAGCTCTCCATTGAAAATGAATGGAATCATGTCGCTTTGTCGCTGCGTGTCACTGGCGGTGTGAACAGGGCTTAAAGGGGTCATCAGATGTGACATGCACTTTTACAAGCTGTTTGAACTGAAATGTGTGCTGGCAGTGTGTGTACACAACCACCCTATAATGATAAAGATCCACCCAGTGTTTTTTTTTAAATCTCATTAAATCATTTCCCCTTTCTCAAACCGAGCCGATCTCAGATGCCTGTCTATGTGACGTCACACAGACAGGCCCCTCCCACGATAGTTTGATTGACAGTAGCGTTTCAGCACAGACTGGGATGGATTACTGACCGGGCCAATGGGGCCAGTGCCCAGGGGCCCTTGATTACCAGGAGCCCGGGGGGGCCCTGGGCTTTAAGGTTGCGCGATCCAGTTTGGTACGAAAAACCCATCAACAATGAAAACAAATGTTTATTTATGCTTGAATATATGTGTCCCTTAGCCTATACAATGCCTCTTGAACAAGGCTCTTGGTCTATGAGGGCTCTCTGGCACTCCTGTTACTATTGGGCCCTGTAAATATGAAGGCCTCCAAATCTTTTATAGAACCAGGGCTGTAGCTGGGGTATCCGGGGCCCAATGCAGGTTGTTGCTGTGACTCCCGACATCTGAGCCGCAGTGGATTACATTTGTTTCTGAAGGGAATGTGCCCCCCGATCTAAGTTACCTAAATGCATTTATCTTGCCTAAATTCTAGTCTATCTAATCATTAGTGATCCAGCTTCACCTCCAGAAGAAGTGAGTATAAGGTTTTTTAATGAATCTTTGCAAATCGCCTTTCCTAATAATGTGCTAGTGAGTTTCACGATGAATGCGGCTAAAGTTTACCGTCTCACAGAGAGCGGCTTTAAATAATTAAAATGTCTTTTTCCCCGATGCATCATTACTAATCGTTACTTTTGCCGGTGCTTTGTGGTAAGCTTTATGCGCGTGCTTGACTACGGAATAGGCTATAATACGACTAAATGCCTATTAAAGGATGGTTTAGTAGGTTATTATATTAATCAACTTAATGTAAACATGCAGCTAGTTGCCTAGAAAAATGTTTAGTCGGGGGCAGGCCTACTTGGCTCAAGGAACCGATCCTTTTTCAAAATAAAATGCTATGACATTACTAAATGTGCGACTGCAAAACATGTCACAGTGTATTGCATTGCACGAATTACGCATGTGTAATGAGTCAAATGTTTTTATTTTATTTCATCTTTTTTATGTATGGGGGTGCTTTGGTCTTTCTTGCGGGTGCTGGAGTAGAGGTCTGCATTCCCGCGGGAACCGTGGGACCCGACCGGAGTTTTTGCACCGCGGGAAATTCCCGAATAAAACGCGGTAGCGGTCAGTAACTCTGGTGTAATTTGAATGGGAGCGGGCGGTCTAACAATATCCCGTTCCCGACGTCCATTTAGAACAGCATATCTGCGCTTTATTCTTGTTGACCACCGGTACAGCTTGCGCTCAGGACTGTTATGCATGCGCTGCACGCATGCTTTTAACGTTACGCATTTTAATTGCGTGGTCTGTGCGCAGCATGTGCATAACGATGCTCGGAGCAGGCTGTACCTGTGGTAAATATACGGCCCTCAGACAGAACAGGCAGGTTGTCGATGAGTGACAGCAGAATAAGGATGGAGCAAAGTGGATGCGCTGTCCTTGAAGGACGTTCAACTCGGTTCAACTCTATATTTTGCTTAGCCTATAATTTTAAATGACAGATGTCGTATTTCATTTTTATTTTTGTTGTTGTCAATGTTAAACGAATTGTATCCTGACAAGACGAATAAAAATAAGAAATACAATTTTTGTACATTTTTATTTTCTCTGACACTTTTTTTCCTACTGTATTGCATAAAATTTAAAAATTAAACGAATTTTGTGTCTTAAGATAATTCATTTAAATTCAAGTCAAAAGTCAATAAATTCAAGACTCTTGACAAGACGAATAAAATAACATACAATTTTGTGCAGACTACACTTTTATTTGGCGGAATATAACTTTGCGGGAGCGGGACTAAAAAAACAGTCCCGCGCAGATCTCTATGCTGGAGCACCTGCTAGCCCCTCCCTAGCACAGCCCATGCCACACACACACACACACACACACACACAATAGGGTCTCACATCTGCATGACTTTTCAATTTTGTGTGTGGTAGCAAAAGTTTTTTTTTTTTTCTTCTTTTTTACAATCATTACAATTAAATCAACTTTCTCCAGATTAAACGCACAGGTGAATTTTGAAACTACTCCTTTTTCTAATCTTCTTACTACACTGAGGAGCACTGCAATGTCTTGCCAGAATGACTTTGCAAATGTTGTTTAAGGTCTCTATGATATGTAAAACTCTTTTCACACTGAAGACATGAGAAAGGCTTCTCTCCAGTGTGAAGCCTCATGTGAGCCTGAAGGTTTCCTTTTTGAGAGAACTTCTTCCCACAATATTTGCAGGTGTAAGGGGTCTCTCCAGTGTAAGTTCTCATGTGGGAATCAAGGGATGGTTTATATGTAAAACTCCTTCCGCACTGAGGGCATGAGTAAGGCTTCTCTCCCGTGTGAATTCTCATGTGATTCTTGAGGCTTAATTTATGACAGAAATTTTTCTCACATTGATGACATGTAAAACAGTCCTCTCTTGAGTGAATTTTCATGTGGTAATTAAGGGTTACTTTACGTGTGAAACTCTTTCCACACTGATCACATGTGAACAGCTTCTCTCCAGTATGACTTACCATGTGGGAATTAAGGTTATTTTTATGTGTAAAATTCTGTCCACACAGTTTGCAGGTGTAAGGCTTCTCTCCAGTGTTAATTCTCATGTGGACTTTAAGGTTTATTTTTTTGAGTGAAACTTTTTCCACACTGTTGGCAGGTGAAAGGTTTCTCTCCAGTGTGAACTCTCATGTGGATTTCAAGATTATGTTTTTGATTGAAACTCATTCCACACTGACGGCAGGTGAAATTACTGTTAGATTTGGTCTTCTGAGTTCTTTTTCGTGAGGAAGTCTTTTTAGCCTGTTTATCTTCAGTCATGAAATCATGATGTTTGTCATCTTTCTCTTCCATTTCACTCAGTTCTTGACCCTCCTCTTTAAGTACCATCAGATCTAAAGCAAAAAAAGTTAAGACAAATACAAGTTAATCCCAGTTTAAAGGCACAAAGCAACAAACATCTAAACCAACATAAAACCATTAA